TCTTTTCACCTTCATCACAAAAACGTGCAGACAAGCACTCATGTGTGGAGGTGCCAGAGTTTTTATCAGTTACGTGTTCATGAAACAGATGACTGGTTGTGACCTCAGTGGGTCTTCATCAGGGTTCAAACGAGGAAACGAAACCTTGCTTCAGACCCATTCATTCTGGGGGTGTTGTGGACAGCTGGGCCAACAGGTGGCAGTTAATGAGATTCATTTAGAGATTACTTAAAAATAACAGTGAGTCAAAAACTGAAAATAAAGGGTGATCGTGGTTATTGAAGCAAAAAGGCAATCGGGCCCTTGCAGATCCCAAGTACTGATGTGGGTACTTAATAATGTCATTACAGTCCTAACAATGACTTTGAACACATTTTATATTCATCAGATGTTCCCACTTCTCCAGGCACCACTACAACACTGAGTACAATACTTGAGTAGATGTACTCAATTACATTTGAGACTTTTTTGCCTTCTTCTTCTCGCTCCCTTTCTAACACCTCCTTCCTTTTTGTTTGCAGGAATGCAGGACGTCAGATCAGGTTCCTATAATGTGACAGATGAAAAGAGGGAGAGAGGTACAGTTACCAGAGAGAGCAACAAAGAGAAACAAGGTGCAGTTGAGAAACAGACAGAAGGAGAAAGAGAGATTTTTAATGATGGATGTTACCTGACAGAGAGACAGAAGGATGAAGGTTTGGAACAGGGAGAAATTAGGTTTGTGTTTAAAAAATACTGACATGATTCTGTTCTGATTATTAGCATGTTATTTGATATGTGATGGAGGTGGGAGGTTCGAGGAGCAGCCAGCCAAAAAGTAAACTGCTTTAACCCCGAAAAAGTGTCTGATTACTGAGTGAGGGATGTTTTTTAATGTTCCCGGCAATTTATTAATAGTTTCAGTTGTATGTTAAGTCTTTTGGACCCCGTGGTAGATGTAGCCTTTTACAAGGAACTTTAACTTTGTGTTGATTGTTTCTACGCCTTGTTCTTGACATTGTCATAGCCGAAAGCCTTAATAATGATTTTCCGTGAGGTTTCAGTAGGTGGCGCTCTTTTGTCATTTGTTCAGCTTCTGTCACTGTAACTGGTCATTATAAATCACATCACTTCCTGTGTGCCAGAGAGATTTCCTTTATGGGAGAAAATACAATCTTTCACCAACTGACTTTATGTCCGATCACAGCTGACAGTAAACAGAAGGAAGATTGACGTTTATTATTTTACAGGTAATTGCTTCAATGGAAAGAGTTAAAGTTACACTCGTGATTTATTCACAGACTAACACGGCTTTGTATCTTTAATCTGATAAAGAAAAGAGAATCTGTCTTTTATTATCTGTCACCATAACTCATCAAACGGAAAATAACAAACCAATCCCAACTGTTTATGGTTCACATTATGAAAAGCTATCTATGTATTGATAATGTTGTCCGTCTCTTGTCTTTTCTTCTGGGAGGCCTGGACTCCATCCTAGAGCTCACCCCTCTCATTTGACCTCTGACCTGGGTGACTGGGTTCAAAGCCCTTTCAGGGTGGTGTTTAGGGGTGACGGGGGACACGGTGATTTGGAACTGCCAGCTCTAAATGCTTCCACATGCTTCCGGTCTGTGAGTTTGAATGAAGGAGAACCAAATCTGTGGGAAAACCATTCCTGCAAACGCAGTCCTCCAGGTTTCAGATTATGGTAATTGTTTTAATTTATTTAAATGAGATAAGATTTGATGATGCAGCAACAAAAAATAAAAATTCCAATTTAATCCAAGGAAATCATCAAAATCAAAAGTTTACATTAGATTTAAAAAACAGGATGAGGTTGGTATGCAGAAGTATATTTGTTGCTTGTTAAGGTGAAGTATTGTTGTGTTGTTGTCTTACCCTTCTCCCACTCACTTGGTGGGAGCTGTATTCAAAGGGTTGCAATCTGAAACTTTACTTTGACAGTTTACATATCTATTTAAATATACATTAGGGCAGAGTTAGAGATTTGTGTCAGTAGATTTATGACAACACAACCTCACAGCAGGTCTAATGATGGGTCAAACAATCAACATGAACACTGGTCTTCCACTCAAAATCACCTTAAAGCCAGTTTGTCTAATGCAAAGTCATTTGTTTTCTGGAAGTTAAATGAATGTAATCAAAAACTCCACTAATGTGACCTGACAGAGTGAACTGACAGGGTGGTGGGAGTTCTTGTTAACCTCTGCTGCCGCCTGGTTGACCTCTCATAAGTCAACACTGACGGGAAGAAGGTCATTACCCAAATTTTGGACCAATCAGATGCTCTGTAAAAGTCAAACACGTTTATGAAAACAACCAAAGGCAAATCTGCGGGTGTCAAGGCCAGCAGATAAACACACACACACACACACACACACACACACACACACACACACACACACACACACACACACAGCTCTTCCCGGAAAGTATGACAGTACAGACATCCTGTCTTGTATTCAGTATTATAATGTCCTGGGGCCATATTTCTGAAATCCTTCCCCGTAGTATCAACCATGGTGAAATATTGTGGCGCCTTGATAACCCTTCACACTTATGGATCTCAAACTGGACTTTCATCTGTATTTTATCAACCTGAAACAACATGCTCACATAACGCAGCCCCTTACATTATTTTTATGCTAGTTTCAGTCTGAACACACGCTAGATCTGCTGGGTGTTGGGTTTCTCCCGCACATAGAGGAATTGAGTGCACTAACCCTTTTATCCACAGCCTCATTAGAAGTAAATATTATGATGAAGAGTGCCAGGAATTAGACAGACCTCTGCTGTGCTATGAATAGATCCTGTGTCTAGTTACTGTAAGTGTCTTATCTGAGGAAGGGAATGTTTGTTTAATGAGAGCTATTTAAACTCTTTAACCCTAAAATATTCATCTTAAATTCCAGATTAGTTGATTTAATTGATCTTGTCTATCGACAGAAAAACCCTGCTGCTGCAGTGGGGATGCTCAAATCAGTCTATTCTTAGTGCCCGTCCCAAGTCCTGGTAAATGGACATGGTTGTGTCAGGAGGGGCATCCTATGCCACATCAAATATGTGGATCATAAATCAGATAACCATTCCAGATCGGTCTAGGCCCGGGTTACCAACGGCCACCACCGGTACCGTTTGTCAGCGGTGGGGTTGGAGTGACGGAGGAAGATGCAGGAGACAGGAAAAGATGGAAACATCATCCGCTGTGGTGACCTCTTTGAAGAGCAGCCAAAAGAAGTCGCAAAATAGATCAGTCAGTAACAAAAAGAATCACTTTTAATGGACATAGTTTGATGGTCCACAATTGCCCCACAGGATTACGTTGTAGCCCATTTTGTGGCTGCTGGCTACCAATGCTCTCACTCAATGGACCTTTTTTACAGCAGCCATTTTGACATCAAATAGTAGGGTAAACAAAGGCGTTATCCAATACTCTATTTAGGTCTGTTGAGGTCAAAGGGAGTTGGTGCTGCAATTGTGCATGTTGGATCTACACTAACTGGAACAAAACCTTAATTAGTGCCACCGGTAACACTCGTGGTTATTCTAATATTTCATGTTGAAATGGCTTCTCTGAAAAAGGTCTATGCTGGACCAAATTCAAAACTAGTCACAAAAGCACAGGAAAATAAGGTCCAGGTTGAAAAATACAGAAGTTACCCTTTAAATACCCTTTATATACAGAAGCTACCCTTTTAGTACAGTACCTAAAAATCAATACAGCAGACTACAATCACACTGATCACACACATAAACAGAACACACACTGAGACAACCACACAGCTTGACCCAGTTTAAAGGAATTCGCTGCATTGAGGGGAAAATGGGGAAAGGTCTCTTAACACGTCACCAGAGTCTGCAGCCACTTCCTGTCGCTGCGGCTGGATTTTCTCTCTGGCGCTGGTAGATATTTGCACAGGCTTGAGGAGGGCTTGAACAGCCTCTTTGATGGGTTTGGTTTGCATGGTGTGGAAGTGCAGAGGTTCGGGGGTTTGGGTTAATCCTCATCCTCTCACAGTTGCTTTTGGTCTTAAGCTCCAACTCAAACAAATACATGCTGAATTACAGAGAGCAGGCGGACATTTTTCATTTTCTTTCGGTTTAATTCCCTCCCATGAAATGCTATAGCCAGTGGTGGAATGTAAGTGTTTGCAATATTTATGCTTTTTTTCAGATTTCCAGCTCTGTTTATTTTAATTTGCAGCTTGAAAGTGCACATAAAAGCTGCCGTGAGGTTTGGTACCATCGTACCTGGTCCGTGTATCTTTTGGTCATTCGATTTTCCTTTCAGAAACGGGTATTAAAAAACAGAAAACGAGAGGTTATTTGATTTTCGTTTTTAAAATACAAACATTTTAATTGAAATACAAGGCGTTTTTCTTTTTCATGGTCAAAAAGGGGTGAGCGAAATTTTAAAAATTATTTGATTTTCATTTTCTATTTCACATATGAGACTACAAGCATACTTAATATCAAGCATTTTTACTGTACCAATGTGGAGAAATTAGACATAAAAGTCGTCCACATTTGTACCTCCAAGTGGCATATTTGACCATATTTGAAGTACTGTAAAAACACTTTGCTCAATAATTCCTGGCTATGGATGGTAAATTTGACTTCTGCACATTTAAGACTACAAGTATACTTTATATCAAGCATCTTTACTGCACCAATTTGGAGAAATTTAAGAATAAAAGTCCCACATTTATACCTCTAGATTCCATATTTTCTTATATATTTGAGCTACTGTAAAAACATATTGCTCAATATTTCCAGGCTATGGGTGAAGCTTGTATTTCAATTTTCATTTTTGTATTTTAAAACGAAAATCAAATAACCACTTGTTTTCTGTTTTTTAATACCCGTTTCTAAAAGGAAAATCAAATGACCAAATGATACATGGACCGTACCTGACCAAAAGCTTAATCTGTGCTTGCCAACCATATCTGGTAAGATGTTGAGATGCTGCACAGAAGTAATGGATAAACTGTTTGTGAAAACAATTCAAAAAGACACTAATTGACTTACATGCAAGAACACACACACAAGCTTATCGTTGTCCAGTTGGTTAATGCAATTAATTTAGCTTAAATGCCTGCTTTAATGCCCCCACACACAGCAATAGTAAGACAGCCTGTCCAGTTGGTTAATGGGACACCATCCAACTGGTTAAGCCAATAAAGGAAGTGAGGAGTGCTGCAGAACTGGACTGAGCTTTTATAATGGACTCAACTCCTCGCAGCATAAACACGTGTTAGTATGTGTACACATGCACAAGTTGAAAGGTAAACAAAAAGTAAACATACCATCACATTTATGTCTTAGCAGCACAAAAACATTTGCAGAAAAAAAACGTATTTAAAGCCCTGCTATATTCCGTTATATTATCACACATGTTCACACATACTATACACAATGGGAGGGAGGGAGTGAAAGAAACGGAATCATATTACTTTGACTCCATACATAAAGTATGCTGACTTTACCTCTTGATGTCTCCCCTGAGGGTGGGGACTCCTGCCTTTAGTCAGCTTAGCATTTATCCCAACCTCCCTAAAATGTACCCGGGGGCATGGTGCTGGATTTACTGTACCTTCAAACACACATGGAGCTGATTTAGCCTGACCCATACAGAAAAGCCCCAAAAGTCTAATTCTTCTTCCACAGCCTGTCAAACACATCTCAGAATCTTTCCTCTCCGAGGTTTTGTGTCAGGTCAGATTTATTTATAGAAATCAACACTCTGGTTTGACACAGACTGAAATCAGAACTAATGAAAGGTGGAAGAACTAGAAAACAAAGAAAAATAAAATGACCTATTAATGATTGAAGACTAGAGGTTGAATGTGTAAGTTCTTGTTGTTGTTTGAGCTAGTGCAGTCCAAAATTTTAGATCTTGGGTCTTGGGCAGGTGGCCTTGACATTTCAACAGAAACTGTTGGCAGTTTTTTTTTTCACTTATGGAAAGGTGACTTCAAAAACTCATGAATGAAAGACGCATGAATTTCTGTAGGTAACGTTCTTAAGCCTACACCTGTCACTGGTACTCTCCACTGGTCATATATGTTGCTATGGCTTTCATTGGCAATTGATTCTGTTGTTTGTATGTGGTGTGTTAAGTTACAGTGCTTTGAGCTATAGTGTAGCCTCAACCAAGCAGCGTTAGCAGCTAAATACAAAGCAACCCTATAGACAGGAGTCCAGTTTCAAAGTTATGTTAAATACTTTCTCTCCACAATATCTACACATGGCAGCTATAGTATGTTTATGGTTAGGGAAAGATTGTGGTTATGGTCAGTAGTGTTGTAATACTTACGATCGGCCTTGGTCTAGAGACTGGTCTCAGAATCAGCTGGAATTTCTCTCTGCCTTGTCTCAGTCTCAGACAAAACCACAACTACGGGAATATCACGAAAAGTTCTGTGCATTGTCGGATTTTCTTATTTCAGCATTGGACAATATCCCTTTAAAATAAAATTCACACTGGTCTGGTCCTGGTCTTGACTTAGTCGTGCCCTGCCTTGCTCAGATCATGACCTGGTGTCAGCCTCTCGAAGTATTTGTCTTGTCAGTGTCTTGATACACTCTGGTGTTGGTCATGACTTGTTTCTGTTTTGGGTGGTCTTGACTACACTGAACAAGACTTGAAATGGAAAACAACTGCTGCACGTTCCAGTTTGTTTGCCACAAACAGTCGATGTATCAATTGCAATTTCCAATTGCCTAATCTATACATGATACCCCTTACATACAGTATTACATGCTACCCATTCCATCGTACCTGTTAACCACAATATACCTCTCACAGTACATGATACCCCTTGCCTAAAGTGTTCCATGTTGCAATTTACTTAAATAACATTTTAGGCACCCAGTTTATGCTATGTTACACACTACCCACATCCTACCCCCTTTTCCATGATATTCCACGATACACATTCCAATGTTACATTTACTTCTACGTTATACCATGTGATTCAATCAGTATTGCCCCTTACAGTTTATACTACCCCTCTCCAACAATATTGCACTTCAGCCTTCTCCCTTGATGTTCTATGGTCCCCCATTAGTGGAATATTCCCAGGATTTTACAAAGTTATATTTTACCTCCTTTTTAATTCCACATTGAATCTACATTCAAGCTAGTTTGGAAAACAAGCATAGCTTTTGCAAAAGCCAGTTGCACACTATCAGTGTGTAGTGTACATGTCCAAGAATGTGTCAGTACTTAGGAATGAAACACACCCCTGAGAAGCAACAGCATTTAGCAGAGGAAGTCTGATAAAGCTCCACCACTCACGTGACTCTCATGTGACAAACCAGGAAACAGTTTGTTATCATTTTACACTAAAGAGAGACATGCAAACTGAAAATGGAGTGAGTTCAACTACAGGAGAGCAAAGTGTAAGACACTGCTGCTTCAACCTGCTGACGATCCATGCTCTGAATGTGAGTTTGATTAAAACAGAACTCAAAGTGAAATTAAATTTCAGTGAAGTTAATGGGGAGCGGTGACTGACAGTAATTTCTGGCTGCTGTGTTTTCAGCGTTACTTAGAGACAAAATGGCTTCCAGATCAGAGGAGGATCTTTGCTGTCCAGTCTGTTATGAGGTCTTTAGAAATCCTGTTGTTCTGTCATGTAGCCACAGCTTCTGTAAAGACTGTCTGAAGAGCTGGTGGAGAGAGAAAAAAACACACGAGTGTCCAGTTTGTAAGTTAATATCTTCCTTGGCAGAACCTCCTGTTAGTCTGGTGTTAAAGAACCTGTGTAAGGCCTTCTTGTTGGAGAGAGATCAGAAAGCTTCAGGAGCTTTCTGCAGTCTGCACTCTGAGAGACTCAAACTCTTCTGTCTGGACCATCAGCAGCCAGTGTGTGTCGTCTGCAGAGATTCAGAACAACACACCAACCACAGATTCAAACCCATCAATGAAGCTGCACAACAACACAAGAAGGAACTTCAGGAAACTCTGGAGCCCTCAAAGGAGATTTTAAAGATTTTAAAACAAGTTAAAGTGCAGTTTGATCAAACAGCAGAACACATGAATGTCCAGGCCCAACACACAAAGAAGCAGATTAAAAAACACTTTAAGAAGCTTCACCAGTTTCTAGAAGAGGAAGAGGGTGCTAGGTTGGCTACACTGAGGGAGGAAGAGGAGCAGAAGAGTCAGATGATGAAGGAGAAGATGGAGGCTCTGAGCAGAAAGATAGCAGCTCTTTCAGACACAGTCAGAGCCACAGAGGAGTTGCTGAAAGCTGACGACGTCTCATTCCTGAACAACTACAAGGCTCCAGTGGAAAGAGTCCAGCAGCGCCCCCTGCTGGAGGATCCACAGCCGCTCCCAGGAGATCTGATAGACGAGGCCAAACACCTGGGCAACCTGACCTTCAACATCTGGAACAAGATGAAGGACATGGTCTCCTACAGTCCTGTGATTCTGGACCCAAACACTGCTCATCCAAGACTCAGCCTGTCTGAAGATCTGACCTCTGTGAGACGAGGAGAGGAACGGCAGCTTCCTGACAATCCGGAGAGGTTTGATTATTATCCATCTGTTCTGGGCTCTGAGGGCTTTAACTCAGGGACTCACAGCTGGGATGTCGAGGTAGGAGACAGTACAGGCTGGTTTCTGGGTGTGTTAGCAGAGTCTGTCCAGAGGAAGGGACGTATACAGTCTAGATTATGGAGAATAGGGTTATATAAAGGTAAATATTCAGCATGGTCACCATCAGCTCCACTCACTGCTCTCCAAGTGCAGAAGAAGCTCCAGAGGATCAGAGTGAATCTGGACTGGAACAGAGGACAGTTGTCGTTCTCTGATCCTGATACTAACACACACATACACACCTTCACACACACTTTCACTGAGAGGCTGTTTCCATTCATTATCACTTTGGATAAACTCCCACTGAAGATATTAGCAGTGAAGGTCAGTGTGACAGTGTAACAAAGCAGTTAGAGATTAAGAGGATGATTCTTGATGATGTTTATTTAAGTGAAAGTCACTGAATCCAACCTGATGCGCATGTTTCTTTCTGTATGTTTAGATCGTTGAGCCTTTTTTCGTTTTTATGGATAGTGGTGCCACAAATACCAGCAACTCCTTTGTGAAAGCTGATGAATCCAAATACAAAGAAAAAAGAAACAAGTTATTAATAACTGCTTGTTTGAGCGGCGATTCATTGTTCAGATCCAACAAACGTTATTTAAAATTATTTTTATTGTCTGTTAATGTCTGGAAAATTATAAAGTTTCCAGAAAATTTTAACGTTTCCAGACATTAATTACATTTAGGAAATATATGTACTTATACTGTGTGTATGTTTAACTACATATATATATAGGCTATATGTAGGCCTACAATTTTATATTTCATATAAAGAAGTCGTTGATTCCGTCTGTTAGGGTTTTGTTGAGGGTTTGGGTTCAAACTTTATGTAATGTTAGTGATTTAAAGGACCAGTGTGTAGCATTTGGTGGCAACTAGCGGCGAACGGGCAGATGGAAACTGTTTCAATACAGCTCAGCCTTCCAAGCATGAAGGCTGAGCTGTAGAAACATGGTGGTTCAACATGTCGGCCTCCATAGAAGAGGACCTGCTCCCTCTGTAGATAAAAATGTCTCATTCTAAGGTAGCAACGATTCCTATATTCAGGTGATTATACATTAATGAAAACATACCTGAATATTATATTCCATTTCTGCCAATATATCAAATGTTACACACTGGACCTTTAAGAATATTAATTGACAATAACGTTAAAGCTGAATGTATATTAATTTCTGTTTTTTATCAGCACAATAAAATATATTACCTTTCTTGGCTGTCATGTTTCAGTTTAATGCTGAAAGTTATTTGGTCTCCATGTTTGGCGTGTTGCTCACATCTATTGGACTGGACCTGTGGAGCTGGAATTTCTTCATATTAGACCTTATTCAATCTTTAATTTCTTGAAAGAGTGGAATATAGTGGCTAAAATTCAGGTATCGCACATTGTAATGCTTCATAATTTTTTGCTTTGTAATTCTTTGTACTGATGGTGTAAAGGATCAATATGTAGTAGTAAGTATGTGAAGTTTTGGAGTTAGAGGGTAACAAACTGAGAACCATACATACATACTATGGAAATAGTACTGATATTTTGGGGTGGAGTATGACCAATGAACAATAAAGTTGGAAGTTTGGGGAAAGATGTGGTAATGAGTTGTGGAGACTGGAACACAGTTGGCTGCATAATAATAATAATCTGAATCTGCAAGTAAAGTAAAAATATTTCCTCTGAACTGTAGTGAGGTAGAAGTAACCAAGTAAATGTATAGTTATTTCCCACAACAGTAACCCATGTTGTCCTTTCACAACATGTTTACCATCTAACAACAGAACAAATGTGTCTTCATATATGTTGTAGCTTTGGTGAGAACTGATATAGTTGTGTGTATGTGTGTGTGTGTGTGTGTGTGTGTGTACTCTTTCATTGTACTTTGCTTGGCAGGTCACACCATCATGTAATAGGATCCTCCTGGAGCTCAGGCTGATCTGGAGAACAATACAGGAGGTGTAACACGTCCACATTGTTTTTTAATGGGCTGAACAGGCAGCTTGAGCTCCTCAGTGAACGATAAAATGATCCTTATTACTGCAAACCAGCTTACAGGTGAAACTCTCACAGAGGAGTCATTCTCATATAAGGAAGTGGAACAGAACCAAAATGCAGACTTGAATATATTTTCACAATTATTCAATTTAAGGCTTTACTGACTGACTGTTATAGTTTTTGTGGAGAAAGAGAGAGAGAGAGAGAGAGAGAGAGAGAGAGAGAAAGAAACATAGACACACAGAGCAGAATGATTGCTGCAAACATGCAAGAACATTTTCGTAATCTTATCCAGACTTCTATAACTTTTTTTCATATGTTGGGCTCTGCAACATCAGATTCAGCAAACGCTCCTAACTTCAGATTCCTGTGTAAGTCACATGTGTAAAAACAAAGAATGCAACCTGTGCATAGTGAACCACTCATTCATGAGAAGTGAACTAACTAACACCCCGATGATACAACGTAAGGCTATACAGCCTGCCCCATGTGTGAGGAAATTCATTAAAAAATAATAACTTTACAAGCTTTTTGAGATTTGTATTGTAGATACAGGGCATATGTCATTGCTGTAGATACAGGGCATATGTCAATGCTGTAGATACAGGGCAGATGTCTGTGCCATCTATTTGATTCATATAATAGAAACAATAATATATAATTTGTCTGTAATTGGTTACCTTTTGAAGGTGTTGCCCTCAGAATTCAATGGAATTGCAACCAAATTTGTGAATCTTATTTACATAAAGCCACTTTGCATGTGTGTGTGTGTGTAACATTTCATACAATTCTACCCACAATAGCGCCCCCTAATGGCCATTAATAAAACCCTGCCATATCTCTTGAGCACAGTATTCAATTGCAACCAATTTTGGATGGTATCTTCAGACAGGAATCACTTATTTCTGGGATCCTCTCAGTAGCTGGACCTGCGAGCAGCGGTAGCAATTACACACGCTCTCTTCACACACACAACTAACAACTTCAACATCACAATCTCTGACACACACAGAGCAAAGTGTTCATTGTTTTCTGATAGATAGAAAGAGAGAGAGAGGGAGAGAGGGAGAGAGAGCGATAGAGAGAGGAAATTCCAGTCATTCCTCAATAATTCCTCCTCTCATTGCTCATGTCTTTCTCTGCTCACACACATGGATGCACAGCCGGTAAATAGACCTTCTCTCTCCCTGTCTCTCCTTTCGTCCCCTCCTCCTTGTCAACACTGCATCTGTCTCCCACCTCTCACCCTTAACCTCTGACCCTCAGTCAGACTTAATAACAGGAAGTGATCGGCTCCCTGCTGCTGCTGCTGCGGTGGGAAGAAAAACGAGGCGAGGAAAGCGTTGTCCCTGGCAACGTTCAACTGATGTCACACCAGAGAGCAGCTGAAGTACATCTGATATGTAGATTCAAGTAGAGCTGGAACAATTGGTCGATTCACTGATTATTCAATCAAAATAACTGATTAGTTGTCAGACGTCATTTTGCTGAAGAAACGATGATTCAAGCAGAATAAGATTTAGATTTTTCTCATTCTGTGTTCAGTGAGTTTTTCTGTCCCTTCACTATGTGCAAGTTGTTTATTTAAAAAAAATATTTAGAAAAATGAACTATTTTGTTTCCCTATGACGACCTAAAGCTGTTACATATGTTATAATATAATATATTACACAGTTCCCCCATGTACTGTTTAGTTTCATATGTTTGTTTGTTTTGCACTTTGGAGAAAAAAGCTGAAGAGTGAAGACGGAGTGAGTGTGTGGGGTGAGCAAGTCCAAAGTTCAGGTGGGTGTGACGTTCACCCATTCAACAACCTCCCTACCTCCACCTCCCTCCCTCCACCTCCCTCAACCTCCCATTAGTCAGTGACTCACTTTTAAGAAAAGAAAGAGCAGCAATTCACCCAAAGTGGAAGAAGGGACACAGTTGTAGGAAAGGGTGGATGAAACAAAAGTGGACAACGCGTGAAGAACGAGATGTGACAGAAAATATTCAGGTTGCTTCACACAGATTCAACAGAGCAGCTGCAGCCTGAGGAGGAGACTTTAAACCAAACCTAAATTAATTAAGTGAACCTAATTAGTAAATAAAAGTAGAACTGCCTTAGGAATGCTTTTATATAAGGGACAATGTATAGGCTGTGATATTAAGTAAATTAATGACATCAACAACATCCACAAATATATTTTATATTCCGTATTCTTTTCAACCTTCTTTGTTTATTTTATCTCCTCTAATGACTGAAGAACCCTGCAAGAATAAATGTGTTTGAGTGTCACAAGTTAATACAACCAATAACACAGAATACCTTCATGATTAACCCATTAACGACTCACAACTATATCAAGTATGTTAAGTCACGTGGCTACACATGACAAAATCCAAATGTATGATTTGGCATATTTAATTTCATTCCTCAGGTAGTAGACAAATCTTTTAAAGTTAAACATTCATTTGAGATACTAAACATCAGATTTACTGGATCAAAGCACATATTATTGAATTTGAGCAGGAACACATTTGATACCACGCCTTGTAGCTTTTGAGATACAACCATTACTTTATTTAGTCACTAGTCACAACGGTTTTTCATCCAATAGGAATAGATTCTTCACCCCTGGTGCCTCTTTGATGCCCCCTTTTATTTGTTTTAATTTTAGGCTCCCTGGGACAAATTTATGATTTTGGGCAACAGAAATAAAATGTAACTTGGCTTGACTTGAATACATAATATGGGGAAAGAATCATTCCAACATGGATGTCGAGTTCATTTGGAAGAGCAACTCTGTAAGCTCTAAACAGAAGATCATTACTGGTTGCTTGCCTATTAAAAATGGCAAGTATCAATATGACGAGATGGAAAACACGGTGGAAGCGTGTAAAAAGGGAGAGGAGCAGGTGGAGAGTCACTCAGGTGTAACAGGAGGCTAACAGTGCTGCTCTCACTGTTATTGTAGACTCTATAATGGTGTTATTGCAGACGCTTCGTCATTCTTTCCACCATTATGAAGTTAAAGAGACCTGCTGTGTTGTTCCCACGGCAACGACTCTACCTCACTCTTTCTCACACACACACACACACACACACACACACACACACACACACACATACATTGTGGAAGAAATACTCCTTCACTTCATTAAAAATAATAATCAAAGTGTAAAAAGTCCTGCATTCAAAATTAATCAAAAGTTTTACCATCAAAATGTATTTATAGTACCAAATGTGACTTTACTCACAATACAGTATGGCCCATTTAATAATAATATATTGCATAACCAGTGGAAGAATGTAACTAAGTAAGTACAAGTAAGTACTGCACTGGAGTAGAAGTATAAAGTAGCATAAAATGTAAATAAAAATAACTTTAAAACTGTCCTTCAGTACAGTAGACGATGTACAGGTTTCCTTCCACCACTGATGCACACACAGATTGACACATAAACCCATAAACCCATAATCACATCTCAATCTCACACACACACATACAGTGCACACTTTCACTGTCCGACGCTCACACACACACACACACACACACACAACACAGTATGTAGAGACATGCAGGTCGTTACCGTGTCCCTTTAATCCAGTTAAGCCGCTTTACAGATTTGGGGAACGTGTCAAGGTGTCTCTGTTTTGGCTGCCCGCCTGTTCGGAGTCTCATCGTCGTCTTCTGGATTAAGAGTCTTTGAGCTAAATGCTAACATCAGCATGCTAACACAACAACACTAACATGCTCATGTTTAGAAGGTTTACAGTGTCAACATAGTATAGTTTAACATGTTAGCACTGATGATGGTGCTAGAAGAGAATTCAGACCAAGGTTTTTACAATTCATCCTGTAGGGACCATGAATGACCATGATGATACATCAAATATATGTTATTATATATGTTAATATAAAATAAGGTTAAAGACTAACTTACAGTTTCTTTGAGTTTTATTTTGTTTCTGTCCCACTAGTTTGGTTTGAGATGCTGGAGCGACTTCTAGTGGCAGGTGAATTTTGTACGTATAAACTTTAATTTGTGCTTGCTCAGCCAACCACAGCAACATATGACCGATATTTCAGTGCACTATTCTCCTTTTAACTGTGTATTTTCTCACCGTTTTCATTTAGTTTTTCTTCCTCTGAATCCAGCAGGATACCGACTCTCTCTCTCTACAGGTCAGGTCAGTGGAGGAATCTTGTTATTTGAAGGATTTTCTGTTTGAATATACAG